CCCCCCCCCCCCCCCCCCCCCAATTAGACGGCATACGCCGACACTGCCAACCCAAACAGCAGCTCAGTTCACAGCAGCCCTGAAATAGAGTGGCCCCCGAGCGAAGCTCCCCCATCGGTTTTCAGGCTGGGGGTGGATCATGCAGACTGTCATTGGTCGTGATCAGAACCCAAAGGAAAGGGGGCTGATCTGATTTAGCAAAAAACAGTTTCCACTGCACACTGTGGAGCACAACAGATCGTCTTTGGCCGTGATGCACCAAAGCTCAGGTTTTGGTCAGCTGAGACCCCCCCCTCCCCCAAACACCTCAGCCAGACCCCATGGGCAAGACTCTGGAACATCCTTCAAAAACAGGCCAGAACATTCCTCAGCCAGGCTGAACCAGGCAGCCTTTGGTCAGTATGGACGAAGACCCCTCGCCAGGCAGGAGATCCCAGCTCTATACATGGGCTGTGTGCACACAGCTCACCAAACCAGCCCTCAGAAGCCTTCAACTGGAATCAGAGCAACCAAGCTGAGGGATACTGGCCCTAACAGCAAGGCATTCCTGGTAACTGTGGCTTGGCTTGGTTGCAGCTTGGGTCCAGAAAGGGATCTTTCAACGCCCGCTTCCTGATGTTAGAAACAGATGCCTTGGCTCCTGGAAGAGCCTGACAGCCCTGCAGAAGCTCTCCGCCAGCCTGGATTAGCCCAGGGCTTCTCCAGCTCTCCATCCAGGACCCAGGCCGATCCTCCAGATGCTCATTCTTCCTGCAGAGGTATGTGCAGCCAACATAAAGCACGAGACCATCATGTAGGACCACAAATAGGGCCTGGATTTATGAGCCTTGGAGACCACCTACCCCACCACGCAGTGTGGCCAGGGAAACAAGGCCAACGTTACTCATCCCGGTCGCTGGGGACCCAAACACTGTCGACATTTTTGCTACCTTACAGCTCCCGGAGTGAAAATGTGAATTGCCTGGCAGGGGACTGGGAGGGAGCAAAAAGCATGTCCCATCTCCAAGAACCGGGCAGAGAAACACTGCTTTAAGAAGAAAATTTCAGAAAAAATAAAATTAAAAAAGCACCGACCAGCTATTTCCCTACAACCTATTGTTCAGGAAAGGTGTTGTTCTAAGGTATTATTTCCATCCCAAGGCTCTTGGTCAAGCCAGTCACCTTTCAAACAATTTTTTTTAAACAATAAAAGGTGGACGTAGAGAAGGCTTCTGGATTTCAGCGGGAACATGATCCTTATAGACATGCTGTAGGTTGTGAGCTAAAGAGACAAGGCACTAAGTGGGACAAAGGGGGGCTCTGTGGAGACTGGCTGGAGGGGGGGGCACTATCGAGAAGAGTGATTTTTTTATGGGGCGAGGGGGGGAGGGGGGGGGGGGGGGGGGCAGAAATGCGCAGCAAGGCCTCGGTGGAGCCCGAGTGGCGTCTGGTTTCAGCCACAGGCCAGAAACATTTTCTGAAAATAAGACTGGTTTGTCATGCCTTCATAACCAACATCTGGGAGACCATTAATAAAACAAGGTAAAACCATGATATGAAACACGGAACCCATGCGGGGGAAAATGGAAAATGCTGAACCACAGAGCCCCCCCCCCCATTGTCTAATAGAGCATAAATAAGTTTCTTTAAAATTTCAGTGCCAGATAAGCAATCGGTGCACTATGACATTTTAAGGTCCATCTTTAGGATCATAAGACACAGAGTTCGGAAGGCTTACCTATATTCCAGCGTCACAACAAAGACAGAAATCCCCCAACAGGCTCAGTTTTAATTAATAGATCCAACAGATGTGTTTTCAGGCCCAGCAACTTCTACTAATATACATCCACTCTCACGCAAGCAAAACGTGTGTCTGAGTGAATCACTGCACCGAGATCAACTCTCAGTTAAAGGTGTGTCCTTGTGCCGCTCCTCATTGGCTCGAAGTGAAAAGGGGCAGTCAGAGAGGTCAAGCAGGTTTCTGATTGGCTGCATGCAAAAGGGGAGGGGTATAGTGAAAGTTGTGGAAGATTGAGGGGTGAGTACTCTTCAGAAGGGCCGGCCCAGCATTCTGGAACAGCATCCAAGGTCTGCGGTGGTTTCATACCCCCCCCCCCCTGCATGTGGGAACTGCACTTCCCCACCTGCAGCTGGAGAGTCGAGGATGAAGGTAGGGGACCTCTTACCTGCGGCGGGGGGACACTGGGGGCTCTCTATCCAGGGGGCTGTGGGGAGACTGGTGGCCAGGGGGGGTGGGGGTTCTACTGGACCCAGAGTTGCTCCGGTATTCTGGTGAGAAGTCCTAGAAGGGAAAAAAACAACACATCGTATCTGGGGCCACATGACTTTTTGAGGGCCAAGTTTGAACATGGAGCAAAGGTCGAGGTCAGAAAAAGTAGAAAAATGGTGGTCGGTTGGTGGGGGGGGGGGCAGGTTACCAAAGAACTTCAACGCCTAAGGCAGTGTGGACAAGAAGGGCACAACGGGTCAAACCTCTCACCCTCAGCACAGCCGAACACAGGCCGATGCTCATAGTGCACCCAGATCCTTCAGAACCACAGCGGAACCCAGCAGAGGTCCGATCAGCTCGCGGTTTGGCCACTGAGAATAAATGCAGGGTGTGTCCGTCCATCA